ACACAACAAAAACAAAACCGGAAAATAGAAAAAATAAAGCCATAATAAGATTGAGATATGATAATCACAAATAATTGAGACGATATTTAACTAAATACAAACAAATATACGAAAATTAACAAAAATGTTGATTAAATTACAACATAATTAAACCTAATAAACATTATCTTAAATACCTTGTCAAATTTGTTGGTGGAATGTGCATCAACACAATAAGTGTGCAATAGGTCTCTACATTGTTGACGACGTATCTATTCTTCGAATCCCAACGTCACCGTATATCATACTAATGTTATTTGTATATGCAAAAACAACGAAAATCAACAAACTATATACATGTGCATGAAACTGCAAAATATACAAAAAAACATTTAGTATAAATTATTATTCCTATAAATTAAACAAATCGTAAAAACACTATATACATGTGCAATTAAATAAAATGATTGAACACTAAAAAAGTTAATTCAAATTTATTTTTTGACGAACTTTTAGGTTCGGATGACTGAACATTAATTTTTTTTTTGTGAACGAATGAGAAGAAATACATGAATGTCATGAGTTGGGGGTTTTATAGGCGGGTAGAATATGGCGAAAAGGTAAATGCAATAATTTAGGTAAGTATATTAATTTTATTGAATATATGGTTTACAATTAAAGAATAATAAATTAGATTTGAGTTAAATTGAATGATTTGATATATATATATATATATATATATATATATATATATATATATATGGTATTGATTTGAAAAACATTAAACAATCTTTAATTTTGGTTAAAGATCTTATATAATTTAGGCATACAATTAAAATCAATCAGCTTAAATAGGTAATAAATAAAATTATATAACATAAAATCGCGGAATTGATTAGCAATTTCTATATTGAAAATAATATTTTGAAATTTAAAATTTGAAATTCGAGATTTTATTATTTCAAAATTCAAATGTAGTTTGATTATTATTTTGGATTATGAAATTTCAAATTATAAATATATTAAAATATAATAATGTATTAATAAAAAAATTATAAATTAATCCAGTATAAAAGTTTGAACGTATAATAGAAATAAGCAATTTCAAATTATTATTAATAAAAAATATTGCATATTTATTAAACAGTACAATGTAAATAAAAATGTTAATAATATTTTTTTATTGAATGGATATTCGAATATTCCAAAATATTGAAAATTAAAAAAAAAAACAACATATTCCTTTATTTTAATATTTTAATATTAAAAAAATGTTTTTTTCTAAAAATTATTTGAATATTCGTAAAAAAATTGAGTATCATGATTTTTTTCAATAAATATATTTTGAAATACTGGAAATGTAAATAAGATCTTTTTATTACGAATTTATAAAATATTAATTTTGGAAATAATATATATACACGTGGTAATTGTTTAAATGAGTGTATAAATGTTAAATAGGAAATAACTTAAGTACATACCAAAATAAAATTGACAGCTCACCAATTGAAGAATTCACCTCATCAATTGAACTCCAACTAAGCAATTTTGATAAATGACATCATCATTTGCCACATGTCAATCATTGAGGGCATAGATCCTCTTTTTATATTATATATAGATTATTTTTTTCCAGCAATTTTCCTTTTCAGTTTTCCGTAACTTTCGAAAACAACTACAATAGAACCTCGATAAATTAATGCTGGATAAATTAATAACCTTGTTTAAGTAATAAATTTTTCCGGTCCCGACTCGGGGACAACGTGCTAAATTAATAATTGGCTAAATTTATAGGATACACATTCAAAAATTTTAAGAAGCCTCATATAATATATAAATTAATAAGACATAAAAACAATTCTTAAATTACATGGTAGAGTACACATTTTATAGATTTATGAAGGCTTAATACAATATAATTTAATTGTTCTTTGATTCTTGTTGAAGTTCACATTACCATCAATCCCGTCCCTCCCTTTTCTTAACATGGTTAGAACTTTCGGTATAGTTTTCTCATAACTTAACATAAAATCGTTCCATACCATTGCTGCTTTAAGAGTTTCTGTTTGTGAAACAGACTCTATAGTGCATTGAACTTATGGTACAATGAATAATATACACATAAAATAAAAAAAATGTATTTATTGAAACATAATAATAAAAGTAATTTCATAAATTAATAAGTTATTAATTAATGTATAAATTAATAATTATTAATTTATCGATAAGTTAATATTTCCTAAATTAATGAAATTTGATGGTCCCAACTGTATTAATTTATAGAGGTTTAACTGTACATTATTTCCAACTAATTTTTTCGGTTTTTTTCCCAACGGATTTACCAAATTGATAAGTTACTACATATTATTGAAAACAATACAAAAAAAATAAATAATGAATCAACTAACAAAAAAACATAAATCACCTGAAAAATGTCGAAAACGACTAAAAATAAATGAGCTACAAGTTTTTTTTTCTATATATTGAAAACAACTAAAAAAATCAAAATCAAATACCAAAAATTGAAAACAACTAAAAAGTGTTGAAGACAACTAAAAACTATCGAGAACTAAAACAACTATATTGCTTTGTGTATCAAAAGCATAACAAAAAAAAAACGATGGCAGGAGGACAGATGTGGAAGGGGGAGACGGCGGCGATGATGAGGTGGAATCCATGTGGGGCGGGGCAGCAGTGGTAGCTAGCACGGAGAGGCGGCGTAGAGGTAGAAGGGGGGAAGATTTATGGAGAGAAAAGAAAGAAGTGGAGAAGAGACGAATAATTTATATCTGATTAGAGTTTTAGGTGGAAAGACCAAATTATATATTGTTGATAGAGGGGATAAATTATGGATATTACTTTAAATTTTATTTAATTAAACAATTAGGGACTCACTAATACTGAAAAATGGGTGGGATTCATCCTTATAATCCATTTAGTTTGGGGTTCTCACTAACATTCTCATTCTTTTATGGATCACTTAATTTATTCAATTTCTAAGGGAAATGAACAATAATTGTACAATATGCCTTTTATTTATGGGGCTATTACCAATAAGCCTATGGTTGACTTCTTATTGATATCTAGGTCTAACCCCAAAGCTCTTTTATAAAAGTCCACGCAAAGTCGCGAGGTGTGTATATGACAAAAATATCTCTTCACATTTTATCTATAGCTATATAATTTATAAATTGAAACCCTCATGCCTTTAGCATCCGACATTTGGCATACCTAGGTGGCATCCTAATCAGCTCCAAAGTGACATTATTTATTCCATTAATATTACCATATTAATTTCTAAGCATTAGTTACCGATAAGATCTAAAAGACCCTTCAATTATATAAAACTTTTAATGAATATGGATTAACAAACTATCTATGTAATCATGATTTTTACGGGGTATAAAGAGGGAAATGTTTATTCTTATTATTTAGAATATAGATTTTTTTTGGGAATTCTCTCCTTTCTTCTATTACAAGTGTGAAGAGAAGTATTTATACTACTCTTCTATGAGTCCTCATGGGCCCTACTTGACCATGTGGAGTATTACAGATATATTATAATATTTCTACAGCCGCTCCCCTACCCTAGCTTGACACCTGTCTCTTCACATCATTCATCCACCTCACATCCCTGAGAGATAAAGCTGTTTTCTGCCGAGGTAGTTTCCTAGACGAGGTGCCACTCTGCCTTGACGACGTCACACTTATATTTGGGTGAGCTATTCTTAGATTATTTCTTTAATGTTGCATTTATCAACATTTCATGCTTTTATGATCTTTTAATGCGATGGGCATTTAAGAGCATTAAATGCTTTAATAAACCTTTAATGCTTTATTTTTGCCATCTTTTCTCCGCTGTCTTATCTGCTTTTAGGGGGACTCCTTGGACCGAAAACTGACCATTTGGAAGGCCCAAAAGCCAAAGTACCATTATTGAGGTCCAAACAGAATTGGCTCACATCAGTTACCTATTTATCAACTTAGAATGTTATTATTTTGTGTACTGCTATTGATGGAGATCATTTCTGTATTCCATAAATCAAGTAGAAACGTAATCAATTATTATCAATTACATACGTTGGTAATTCTATAATACTATAATCACGGAGAAAATATTACTTTATTCAAAAAAATTATCAATTACAAGTACATAGATTGTGTTGACTAAAATCAAGGATATTATATTATACAACATCACACTATTTCATCCATATTTAGATTTTTGTAAAATCTTTGCATCTATTGCCGCCCATATTGAAATTTGAATTTTGAATAGTTAAACTCTTTAAAAATTTATGTTTATAATTCATACTATATAAACTTCTCACATCGATTTTATTTTCAATCCTCGAGCCATCTACTTCACATCACTATATGTAATTATGTTTACGCCGATGTTTATTTTAATATTCTTAATTCTTGTATATGTTTTTCTTTTGAACTCTTTAGTATCCAATTTATAGTCGCATAAGAATTTACCAATTTTAATATTTTCCATGTGAATTTTATATTTGTTGATTAGCATCACAAATTCAAGAATTAATATGAGTGTTCAATCGACATTATGTGTACTTTTCAACAACTAATTAGACCGTCCTTTGGATCCATATATATGTGTTGTATATAGAGAATCAATCAAAGGAGACATGCATATTTGACCATGTGTTGTATGTGGGAAGGTGGAAACGGAAGATTTCATAACTTTTTTTAGTGGTGTGTTGTCTGAGTGTGTCTTTATACATGAGATGTGTATGCCATCAAATGAACGTGGGAATTTCGATTAATAGATCGTAACGCCTCCGTTATATATTTTGAAAAAGTGCTTACGTATTATGATCTCCAACTAATGGTAATATCGATATTCAAGATTTGGACTGCCAATAATTGTACATGAGAGCTCCACATACAGCATCAAACAACAAAGTCCACAAGCAGAATTATTATCTAAAGCGAAGCTAATCATATGAGACAAGGCACCGATGATGCACATGTATTGTTTCAAAGCACTTGACTCAAAGATGCCATTTGGAGGCAAGGTTGTAGTTCTTGGAGGAGACTTTTGGCAAATTCTGCTAGTTGTGTTGAAAGCGTCGAGCCAAAACATTGTTCATGCTACAATCAATTCCTCAACGTTGTGGAAACACTGTAAGGTTATGATGTTGCAAAAGAACATGAGACTTCGGTCATGCTCCTCTTCCTCCAACACCGATGAAATTGTAGAATTCGCAGACTGGATACTGCGAATCGGGAATGGCGATGTTGGTGAGGTCAATGATGGGGATGCCGCTATTGAAATTTCTGATGACAAGTTGATTCGTGATTCTGCAGATCCCTGTTTGGATCTTATCGAGTTTGTTTATCCCGATCTGATGAGCGACCTGTTCAATCCTGATTATTTCGAGGGCATGGCAATTCTTGCACCAACTAATGAAAGTGTCGGTTTTGTGAGTGATGGTTTTTTGTCGCTCACAACTGAACAAGAGAATGTTTATTTTGCTCTGATAGTATGCGCAAGGATGAGTTATTATCATAACTCAACGCATAAGTATATTCCACGGAATTCCTCAATAACATATCATGCTTTGGGAGTCCAGCGCATATGTTGAGATTGAAATATTGAAAAGAGGTGTTACTGTTAAAATATTTTTACGGGTCAACAGAGAATTTTCCACATTAATCATAGAAGATCTCACGTTCTTCTCTAGATAATTCTAAAATATTTTTTTTTTAAATTACAAATTAAATTTTAACATTTTATTGTTTATAGAAATTGTAATTTCCAAACACTTACGAATTCATTATGGCTAAGGACCTAAATTATATATTCTTTATTTGCGTCGACACCAAACAGGATCAGAGCTTCCTAAATCTTTCCCAAGTGATATGAAATAGTTCTCAAAATTGTGGATCAGAGCTTCCTAAATCAACGGCGGCGACGGACAAAATTGTACTCAAAATTATGTTTTTGGTCAAAATTGAATAATTTATGAAATTTGGGGTCAAATTGAGGTAAATAATTAAAGGATGAAATTGGAGCATATTAAAATGTGAGGGGCTCTTTTGGTCTTTTACATACATCTGGACAATGTGTGGATTTTTTTGTAAAAGAGTTTTTTGTCTAGACCCCTTTATGAATAAGTACCCATTAATGGGTTTATTTGTAAAGTGCCCTAACAAAATTACTACCACCAATATAATATTCAAATAACTACGGACTGGGCAAACTCAAACAAATTTATTTGCAAAAATAAATGTAGCCGAAAGGTAGGTTAAGAACTTGCGAGGGTTCGGAGCACCCCGATATCTTCCAGACTTACTCAGATAATATTTCATTTTAGTAGTATTATTTTATCTTGTAATATTGCAATATTCCAACTCTCAACATACAAACATTCCTCCATATTAGTTACCGACCATCATTAGAAGGGGAGTTGGTACATAACTTTTACTATTATAGTATAGGTCTAAAGTTAAATAATGCCCCTCCAATACTATCCCAATTTCTAACGAGATTTGACTTTTATAAGTGATAAAAAAAGGTTCCTCAACACTACTGATACCTCAAAACAACGTAAGTCTAAACATGGAAATAAGATTCTAAAATTTACAAAGCATGTTTTATTTAAATTTTAGGATTCTAAAATTTACCAACGAAACATCTTGGATAAGAATTGGAATGTCGAAGTATGGACTATGTTCTGGTTGTCGATTAAGGTTGATCGACTCCAATTTTTTTTACTTTTTTTGGATTTTTCGTTTATTGATTCCAATTGTATAAATCAATTATAATTAATGTTTGTATATTTTTTATTTTTGTAATATATAGTTGATTTTGCATTTTTTCGCAGTTGTGATTTGTTATTTTTAGTAGCAGATTCTTAATCGATTATGCTCTACTAGTCGATTAAAGTTGATCGATTCCAATTTTCTTTTTTTTTTATTGATTCCAATTGTATAATTCAATTATAATGTTCTTATATTTTTTGTTTTTTTTGTAAAATATAGTTGATTTTGTATTTTTTGATTTGTTATTTTTAGTAGTAGACTTTTGATCGACTATGCTTCATCATAGTTGAATAATATACAGATATAGAAAAAAAAATTAAAAAAAAAATAAAGAATTTCCTTAATCGACTATGCGCCATAGTCGATTAAGAAAACTGGTACAGAAAAGGAGGAAAAAAAAAGGGAAAAAAAAAAATTTGCTGAGCGCGGACCCAGTGATGATGTGGCGGGCGAGGGCAAAGCTGGAAAACATAATAGCTCAAAATGGATGTGGGCTTTTCTCAAATGGACATAAATATTTTGGACCTCTTTCCATTTAAAAAAGTAATGAGGGGGTTTCCTCAAAGAACCTCTCGGAATTATATAGTAGAAAATATGATGGTTGGGTAAAAGTTTACGGGGGTTCAGGGGCAGCGCCACCGATTTTTTTTAATATTACAAACATTAAATAATAAGAATATATAATATTTTCAAATTTAAAGGGATTATTTTACAAATTTTGGACTAATTTAGGAAATATTTAAACATAAAATTGGTGAAAATATTAAAGGACTGGAAAACATATTAAAGTTGCTAGTAACAAAATATGTATTTCATTAGCAAATTTTGAATTTTTAAAATATAAAAAAATACCCACATAGTTATAAATTTAGAAAATACTTGAAATAGTATATATATATATATATATACATATATATATATATATATATATATATATATATATATATATATATAACATTAAGAATTTTGAATAATTTAGATTATATAAAATATTCAAAAATACCCACATATTCAAAAAATTGAAAACAATTGAAATATTGTATGTAATGGAAATTAAATCTTGTTCCTTATGGGTAAAAACTTTCTACCAATTAACTGCAAGCCAATTTATTTACAAAAGATTTGGAATTTAAAAAGGAATATATACATAAAAAATAGAAATAAAAAAAAAAAACATATTTGGGGTCTCCGGCTCTGGGTAAGGTTGTATTAATTTTTACTAAATTTCAATTTAACCCCTCATTAGTTATAAATATCAAAAAAAAACCCAAAATATTATATATAAATTCTTTTTTCTTTTGTTTTTTTTATAAATCCAAGGGTGTGCAACTGCACACCCTAAGACTATGCTAGATACGCCACTGCCTATAATATTAAGCTCGAGCTCGAGCTTGTTGTGTTTCTAAGGAGCTCGAGCTTGAGCTCGACACAACCAAATTTTCATTCAATTAGAAAATTAATATTATTCTTTTTTTTATTATCAATAATATCCACTATTATATATTGTTAATATGTATTAAAAATATAAAAAAAGGTAAAGCTCGCGAGCCGGCTCGCGAGCTGTCGAACAACTGAAATGAAGCTCGAGCTTGGCTCTTCGAAAAGCTCGGGCTCGTTAACTCGAGCTCGATTTTTCGAGCTCAAGTACGAGCTTTTTTCGAGCAAGTTCCGGAAGCTCGCGAGTCGGCTCGACTCATTTACACCCCTAGTCATGAGGTTGTCCTTGGGTTGTTTTGTATTTAATTATTTAGCTCTTTTGTATTATATTGTATATTTTGTAATTTCATAGTTTTTATCTCTCGACACAATGAGTCGTAGAATTTTTTTAGCCCGATAAAAAGAAAGTAAGCGCAAAAACAACTCATTAAGTTTAAAAAATCACCTGGCGAAAAAATATATTTCGAAGATGAAGTTGTGAACTTGTAGTCAAGAAACGAGTTGATAAGTCAGAAGAATAAAGTTGGTGGTTAAGGGGGCCTCTCATTTTCGCCTAGGGCTTCCGGGACCCTAGGACCGGCCCTGCGGCTAAGGACCTAAATTATATATCCTTTATTTGCGTCGACACCATAAATGTGGATCAGAGCTTCCCAAATCTTTCCCAAGTGATAGTGAGGGAGTTTAGTGTATAACCTAGCCATCTCCATTAGTTCTTGTCTCTTTCAGCCGACATTCGGCCGTACGTGATAACTTTCTAAGTCCAGCCTCCAAATCAGTTAACGTGATTGTGCACAGTTCATCCCCTTGAGAGTCAAAATTCAGCCTCAAATCAAGATTTTCTCTAGCATTGTTCAGCATATGATCCACCAAACCTCCGTTCATTTTATTCCGCAGCTTCTCCGAGGAGTTGTTCTCTATCACTTGTAGAACGGCGTCACAGGTACACGACGGATGGAGCTTAAATCCGTACAACCTGCTCTTCTCGTTTTGCTTGCTCATCTTTAGCATAAGCATCTCCGCGAGGTATTTGCATGTAAAATCATCAAATTGGAAGAAGTGAGTCACTCTTCTGCAGAATCCCTCGTTCGAAGAGAACACACGCTTCATCGGCTCGGTATAGCCTGCAAAAACAACCACAATATTCCCATCTTCCAGCACGGACATGATCTCTTCCAACGCTTCCACTCCAAAGTCTTTGTGGCCACTTGTCTCCTTCGTAGGTACTAAACGGTACGCTTCATCCACGAACAAAGTGGACCCCATGGCTTCTTCAATCTGTATTCAATCAACAATCAATATAACAGCCTTAAGATAACATGCAAGAAGTCATTTACTCTTATAATGCAGAATTTCATCACTCCATACTTTTTTTCTAGCCTTGGGCCCCGTTTGACCAATGTGCTCTCCTACCAAATCGGTTCTTTGTACTTCTATCACTTTATCAGACGACAAAACACCAACAGATTTGAGTAGTTTGCCTAAAATCCGAGCTACGGTTGTCTTACCTGCACATCAAATACTTAAATATCATTAAACAAGAGCGATAAGTACGGACATATAGGGGTTTCCGAGCAATAACATGTCAAACTACCTGTCCCGGGATTTCCGAGAAATACCATGTGAGGTTGTTTTCTCGGTCCGAGTTTCATCCCCACCGCTCGACGCTTCTCATCCATGAGAAATCCCTTTGCCCATGTCGTGAACTGCAGTTTGAGCTCATGCAATCCTACTATATTTGATAGCTCATCTTCAAAATCATCCATCTTTCCTTTTATTCCACTCCCATCATTCTTCGCCTCGGAGCAACTTTTTTTATTAACTTGATCCACAGGGTTCTCATTTGGCTCTTCCAAATTTTCGGAGCCCCTTTTTTTGTTAATTTCATTTACAGGGTTCCGATTTATATCGTTGTTTTGGTAGACGAGTCTCAACAATTTTTTATCTTGTAAGCCAGCTTCTAGAATAGATCGAACAGGAGTCCAGCCATTCTGCACATTATAATGATAACGTGTTCACAATCAACAATATGAGCTAGATACAAGTTGACACGGTTTATTGCAACAAATACCGTTGTGTTATATCGAATTGCTAAAAAACTACCCTACGTTATTTTATTGGCAAAACACCCCCTGTGATTCGATTTTTTTTCTTTTAGCACACAACCTTCTAAACAGGGGTACTAATTGCTAAAAAAAATTAAATCATAAGGATTTTTGCCAATAAAATAACATCCGGTGGTTTTTCAGCAATTCGATATAACACAAGAGTACTACTACTTGCAATAAACTCTAAGTTGAAATATCATCAAATTGAGGATTGAATAGAAACATTTAGTACATTGTCTTTCGGTGAGCGATCAACTTGGTACTCTAACAATGTTTTCACGACGGTGAGTTGTCCGGATATCACTGCATAATCAACTGCAAGATGTAATGGAGTCTTCGAATTCTTCGACAAAAAGGAACAAATAAAGAAGAGTAAAATATTCAGTTAATTAGTTATACGTAACGAAACTTGGATGCACTTATATTTAAAGATAGAGAATATATCACATTAGTTCTTGCTTCTACGCAGGCACCATAGTCGATAAGCATCTTGACTGCCTCATCACATCCGTTTCTAGCAGCAGCGTGCAATGCCGTCTCACCATGCTGTGCAAAACAAATATACGTATGTGTGTGCGTGTGTGTGTGTGTGTGTGTGTATAAGACGAAAACCTTTGCATTTAAACGAACAACAATTCATTTTAATTAATTGATTTCTTCTTCATACAAGATTCTTAGCTTCCAAATCCTCTTTCCCCACTCCTTTCTGGTCAAGCAAATACTTCAATATGTCAACTCTATTCTCACTAGCACAAGTATGTAACTCGATATTTACCATCTGTTACATGCAAAAGCAGTCATCAGTAATTGCAAAGAGAATCAATACAAAGTAGTTATGTGATGAACCACAAGGACTTGTACAATGATGATTGTGGAGTGGTTTCTTCCGTTTTATGTATGCCCTATTAGAGCATCACCAACCGGTTTCACCATTTTTTTCATCAAATCCCATTTTTTATGGTGAAAAATGGGTGCATCTCCCACCGGTAGCATACTATTTTATCCATCCTAATGGTGTTTTTGGTCTCCACTCGATTTCACCAAAATTTAGACCAAATATTAAAATAATAATATTTCACCATTTCACCACTTATAAGAAATGGAATTTCGTTTGGTCTCCCATGGCATTTCACCATATATTCCTCAAAACTATAAATCTAATGTTAATCGTAATTTTATTATATTTTATCTCATAAATATTAGGGTAAATTACACCCATACCCCTGAGGTATGCTTAAGGTCCATATGATATCGATAATTACACTCACCCCCTGAAACGTAGTTAGAAACTCTAATGTGATAATGCAGTTGATACGTTATTCCGATATGGTTCTAACGGACTATCAGTTTTAGCTAGTGGTGGAGACAACATAGAGTTATGAGGTGAGATGGCTCCCCCAACATTACATGGACCCCCAGATCGTGATACGGAGTGCTGGGACCTATATCTTAAAGTTCTTTAAGCTTTAATCTCTATGCTAACCACATAAAATATTATTTGTCGATCAAATAAGTGTGAATGTGACTAGCTTCTTACATCTAAATTATTCTTCATGCTTTCTTTTGGAGAAATAATTATTCTTCAGGTTACTTGTATCCATTAACCAAAAGGCACAAAATCACCTAATTCGCTCACGAAAAGGTAGAAAATAATTCTGGAATTTAGAGACAATCAAGCTACTAGTTAACGTATATATGAACCGTATTGATTTCAATTCAATATCACACCCAAAGATCCAAAATCGTCCAAATAGTGTCAATACATATTTCAAATTTCACATACTAGATCCATTTATTACGAAATAACACAATTTAATTCAAATATCTCAAAATCACCAGCACATACCAATTTTAGAAAAGTACACCAGAAGAGATATAGAATCACTCACCTTAATAAAAATGGACGTAAAAATCTTCACGAGCTGTTGTTCAAACCTGTAAATTTGAAGTTAAGATCTGTTGTCGAAATAATATTATGTATTCCAATATTCAATCATGATTGATATACTAACTCATGAAATCATCAAGTAACTAAACGCAAGCACAACTGTGAAATACCCTCAGTAAAGCGCACGCACACACGGACACACTAAACGTTCACACATAAACACAGCCAGGGGCGAGTCCACCCTTTCGCAACGCACCCTCAATTTAAAAATTCTCTACTATATTATACATATATATTTATTTAGTCACCCTACCAATTTTTATTAATTAGCTCATCCGAATCTCAAATTAATGCAAAAAAAAAAAAAAAAAAACGTAAATCTCTTTTTTTTCTTTCCCAATTTTCTAGTTTTGTGAACATAAAAAAAAACACATACAACAAAAATCAATTGAGTTATAAGAGTTATTTCAAACAGTCAATATAATATTAGGATTTAGGCTCCCCTGTTATCAACCTTTTTTCTCTCCTTGTTTTATTTTCATTTCTTAAGAATTTCGACCGGTGAAGAATTCTGTTTCAGCCGCCCCTCTTTTTCTTTTGTTCTGTTAAGATATGTAAATAAGACTTATTGGCGTTCATTTAATAGTCTATTATCATAATTATTCTTACAATACATTTTTATTCGGAAATTACTTCAATTTCCCCTAATCTTTTTTTTTTTTTTTTTTTTTTTGAATTCAGTCATAGATCCCTGAGTTAGGGATGGCAACGAGTCGGTTTTGGGTCGGGTTTATCTAAACCAAAGACCTTACCCACGAAAAATATATAAAACCAAGACCCATCCCAACCCATTTTAGTTTAGACCCAAATTCACCCCAACCCAGACCCTAACTAAACGGTTCTGACTCGTTAGACCCGTTAACATACAAAAAGTTTAATATTTTTTAACTTTCATAACATTTTGTTTGTATATTTTTTACGAAATAATCTCAATACTATAATACAATATCTTAAAAAATCTCAACAAGTGATATAACATGAACAATACAATTGCAATTAATTATACTTAACTTCGATAATAAGTAAAATTCAAAATGCAAGACAATTACCGGTGGTCGACAAGTGATAAATATTAATTATGAGAAATGAGATTCGAAAAATAAAACAGTGAAAATAGGTAAATGAGAATAGAAAAGATGGAAATTGATAGTTTGATAAATGAAATCCGAAATTACACACACACATATATATATATATATATATATATATATATATATATATATATATATATATATATATATCGGTTCTGGTTCGGTTCCAATAAGACCCGTAACCCGATCCAGAACCATCCGATTCTAGAAATTTAAACTCATTACTCAACTCAAAACCATTACCCGCCCCAAACGGGTCGGTTCCGGGTCCAAGACCCGTCAAACCCGTACCCATTGCCATCCCACCCTGATTTTATCTAATTTACTAACTAAACGTATAAATAATTATAAAAGAAACAAATGAGGTATTCTAGTGTGAGAGAGAACAATAATCTGATATTTTAATTTTAACTTTTGAGCAAATATTTTAATTTCAGTTATAAGTTTTATGCAAAAAAACTCAAAATCCTCTGAAACACTTTTCAAAGTATCACAAAATTAAACAAGCAATTCCGACAACGATTTCAGATAACAAATTACTTCCTTACGCAAATTTACAGTTTTATGTTGTGTAATTTATAAATTGCACCGATTATGTTAATCTTTTTGTTGAACCGGTTGAAAAAACAAATATCCACCTTTGTTTCGTAGTACTTCTCTATTCCGTGTATCGTTGCACGAAACAAACGATTTTTTCGAAATAATTCCACTTTACCCCCTTGTACTCTGCCCAAGAACCACTTTACCCCCTCGTACTCTTAATTTCGTCGATTTACCCCCTTGTACTTGTACAATTTCCCAATACAACCCTCTTCATCAACTTTTTTTGATTTTGACTCTGACGCCATTTGGTCAAGAGTCAAAATATTGACGTAAATATTGAATTTTTTCGATTTTGACTCTCGAGATTAGATAAGAGAAAGTTTCACACATTCATATATTTTTTTCTTTGCACTGGGTGGAATCGATCAATTTTTGGGTCTTGATTTTTACTAAGTTAGGGGTTCAATTTGGGGATATCTTGGAAGGGGAATTGGTGGGAGAAGAAGAAATGACAATATTGACGGAGGAGAAACGACGCGTTATAGGCAGTGGCAATTTTGTAATTTACAGAGTTGACCAAATGGCGTTAGAGTCAAAATTGACAAAAATTGAAGAAAATGGCTGTATTGGGAAATTGTACAAGTACAAGGGGGTAAATCGATAAAATTGAGAGTACGAGGAGGTAAAGTGACTCTCAGGCAGAGTACGAGGGGGTAAAGTGTAATTTACCCTTAAAATTATTTCATAATAATGAATATGATAATTAATAATCTATTTAACATTATTTATTATAATCATTTTACACCTTTAGTTTATGTGATATATAGTTCTTGCAAGTAACTTAACAAATAATTGCCTTGTCTTACTGGTTTGGATTGTCATTGATGTGTGAGGCACCGGAGTCGAATCTCATTCAAAGCATTTTGAACAAAATTTAAAAATCCGGTTCGGACCCGGAACCGGGTGAAACAAGTGGACCCAGACCCGACCCGTCCGCGGCCGTGTCTAGTTGGAAGTAGGATATGGAGTTTTTGGCAATGAGAATAGTAAAATGCAGAAGAAAAAAAATACAAAATCTAATGAAGGGCATCACAATCATTTCGAGTGAGTAGGCATATATATATATATATATATATATATATATATATATATATATATATATATATATATATATATATATATATATATATATATATATGAAATTAGCCAAAAGGGATTTATGAGCTAAAATTCCCTTACAAAATGCATAAACTACACGAAACGCATCATTTGGTCGTCTATTTCTTATTTTATTGTTGTGTCTTCTTGTTTATCTCATCTTTTCTCGAGTTGTGTTGTCTAAAGTCTTCGTAAAAATCTTGTTGTCTAGAGTCTTCGTAAAAAAAAAAAAAAAAAAGACGGGTATAGCTAAATTAAATAACTTGATCTTCAAGTCGACTTCTCGATCACCTTTCTAAACTCGCGTAGACATTTGGTTGTGCACGTACAGAACTTCTAGCTCGATTTCAGCACTATTCCACCTTCGAATATCTCTTTGGTATCTTTCGGTTAACTTGACAGAATCATTTTGAATCAGATTAAATGGACTTCAGATGAGAAAGTTATAACTCGAATGGTAAACTCTGCCACAATCATACGTGACTTTCGGGATGCATGTAATTCGACTTTTGTCCAACTTATTCCTTTTTTCTTTTCTTCCAATTCTAAATCATAGATATCTCAAACATTCGATTCAAACATTTCTTCTCCAAGAAAAACTCGAATAGCCTACTTAAACTCGTACGCATGCGCTTCTTCCAATTCTTTATCTTTAAGCTTGCTAGGATCGTATCATAAAAAGTAAAAACTAATGAAGGAACATGATTCAAAGTAGATCTGATTTTTATTCATTTCGTGTTGCACTACACGAAATGCATCATTGCATTTTGTGTAACGCAATACGAAATGAATAAAAAAATTGTGTTTTTTCTAATCTATTTTTTGTTGAATTAAAGAAATGCAATGATGCGTTTCATGTAGTTTTACACGGAGGTATGGAGGGATGTTAGGTCGGAGAGGGTGTCTGGAGAGCGGTTGTTCGGAGTAGGTTTAATATTTGGGGTAATGGCAAATAGGCCCATGACAAGGGCACTTAATTAAAAAAGGGACATCCAACTTTTTTGTTTCTCAAATAAACCCACCCCATTCAAACTTATTTGCAAATAAGGAAAATCCCTTTATATATACCAAAATTACCCCTAATTCATTGAAACCCAATTCAACTCCAATTTCATGATTTACACCCCAATTTAGCCCAATTTCATCAATTAACCAATTTTAACCCTAATTTCAATTTTGACCCCAATTTTAACCCTAATTCTTATCAATTCCACCCATTATGCTCTAACTTCTTAAATATTACACATTGACCCCGGATTTAAACAAATATATCACATTAACCCCCAAAACTTTTTTTTTTTAGAAAATAAATTTTTTTTCTGAAATATTTTTTTCCGGCCAGATTCCGGCCGGTCAACGGCCGTTGACCGCCGGTCTCCGGCGTTGACTTTTTTTTTTTTTTTTTTTTTTTTTTTGAATTTTCGTTTTCCCGAAATTTTTTCCGGCCGGTCAACGGCCGTTGACCGCCGGGTCTCCGGCGTTGACTTTTTTTTTTTTTTTTTTTTTAATAATTTTGTTTTTTGTTAAAAAAAATATTTTAATTAATTTTACTGTCTTGGCTGCTAAATTACTGTCTCCGGCAGCTATTTAACTGTCGGAGACTGAAATTTAACTGTTAATTGACTGTTTTTTTTTTCTTCAAAAATATTTTTAATTAATATTACTGTATTCGTTGCTAAATTACTGTCTCCAGCAGTTATTTAACTGTCGGAGACACTTATTTAACTGTTAATTGACTTTTTTATTCTTAAAAAAAATATTTTTAATTAATATTACTGTACTCGTTGCTAAATTACTGTCTCCGGCAGTTATTTAACTGTCGGAGACAGTAATTTAACTGTTAATTGACTTTTTTATTCTTAAAAAAAATATTTTTAATTAATATTACTGTATTCGTTGCTAAATTACTGTCTCCAGCAGTTATTTAACTGTCGGAGACAGTAATTTAACTGTTAATTGACTTTTTTATTCTTAAAAAAAATATTTTTAATTAATATTACTGTATTCGTTGCTAAATTACTGTCTCCAACAGTTATTTAACTGTCGGAGACAGTAATTTAACTGTTAATTGACTTTTTTTTTTTTTTTTTTTTAATTTTTTTCCTTACAAAAAAATTTGTTTTAATTAATATTACTGTCTTGGATGTTCAACAGTAATTTAATTGTCTTAGACAATAATATTAATAATATTACTGTTCGAAAAAATAATATTCATAATATTACTGTCCCAAACAGTAATATTATTGTCTGAGACAGTAATTTAGTAGTCAAGACAGTAATATTAATTAAAATATTTTTTTTCTAAGAAAAAACAATTCAAAAAAAAAAAAAAAAAAAAAAAAAACAAAAAGTCAACGCCGGAGACCGGCGGTCAACGGTGGTTGACCGACCGGAAAAAAAATTCAGGAAAAAAAAATTTTCAAAAAAAAAATATAAAACAAAAAAAAAAAGTCAACGCCGGAGACCGGCGGTCTCCGGCGGTCAACGCCGGAATCTGGCCGGAAAAAAATATTTCAGAAAAAAATTATTTTCTGAAAAAAAAAAAGTTTTGGGGGTAAATGTGATATATTTGTTTAAATCCGGGGTCAATGTGTAATATTAAGGAAGTTAGAGCATAATGGGTGGAATTGTTAAGAATTATATTATTGAGGGTATTTTAGACTAAAGACATGGGGATGGGCTTAATTGAGAGACTGTTTTTTTTGTGGACTAAAATGCATTTAAGTCCCATGTGATGGGCCTTTTTGCCATTTGCCCTTAATATTTTTGGAAAAATTGCAATTCAGTCCCCTAGCTTAAGAAAGAACATGATTTTTCTGAAAATTGAAGGGACTGGATTGAAAGTATAAAAATCTTCTATTTGGGGCTTATTTTCGACATTTCCAATTTAAAGGGTCTTTTCAGATAAAAATTCTCCAGAGTCACATATTTGACTATATCATACGATCAACTCGCAAGACCCTTATTGCTTTGACTAACTTTCATAAGAGGCCCTTGCTAATTTTTTTAACACGGGAATTTTTATGGCAATTAGATATTACACGGGGTGGCTAGTGCTAAAACCTCCAACTTTCTAGCCAAATATTAATAGTGCATTAGTTATATTTTTTTTAGTCCTCTCTTTTCTTAGACTCCTCTCTCTACTATTGGTTATTCATTATGACCCGACACTCTTTTGAGATCTTCAATAGAGTTCTTTGTGTTTTAGTTCATCAGTCTTCTTTATTGAATTTAGTTTTCTCCATTAAACTTCACCTGAACATCAACACCATTTATGAAGTAAGTTGTCCATGAGGTGCATGATTCTACTATGAAGCAATACATAATTAATATTGATGCAGGGAAATATAAATACATTCAAATTTGCTACATATATAAATATACTCAATCCACTTAATATCAATACTACACAATACCTGATTCATCATAAGTTTACTTTTGTTCGAGTTTATTTGCTTACAAAACTAAATCAATTGAATCGAGCGCTAAGAAACTGTAAGTCGGTTGCAGTTGTCGATGAATGTTCCTGCAACAAATATTCGTATTTGCATTTAATCCTTGAGGTTTCCATTTCTTGTCTGTTTCAGTCGACATTCACTCGTTGTGATAGGGTTTTAAGTCCAGCCTCCAAATCACTCAGTGTGATCGTCAAAAGTTCATCACCTTTAGAATCGAAATTCAGCCTCGAATCAAGATTCTCTCTAGCATTGTTCAGCATATGATCCACCAAACCTCCATTCATTTTATTGCGCAGCTTCTCTGTGGAGTTCTTCTCTATCACCGCAAGAACCGCGGCAGATGTGCACGAAGGATGGAGCTTAAATCCGTACAACCGGCTCTTCTTGTTCTGCTTACTCATCTTTATCATCACCATCTCCGCAAGATCTTTGCATGTAAAATCATCAAATTGGAAAAAGTGAGTCACTCTTCTGGTGAATCCCGCGTTCGAAGAGAACACGCGCTTCATCGGCTCTGTATAGCCTGCAAAAATGACAACGATATCCCCATCTTCCAAAACGGACATAATCTCTTCCAATGCCTCCACGCCAAAGTCTTGGGAATCACCAGCGCCCCGCTCGGGTGCTAAACGGTATGCTTCATCGACGAACAAAGTCCCCCCCATTGCTTCTTCGATCTTCACAAACATCAATCCAAGATTATTATAACACGGAATAAGCTAAACCAACATTGTGGAAGTTCACGAATCATACAATTGGACAAACCTTTTTTCTAGTCTTTGGTCCCGTTTGTCCAGTATACTCTGCTATCAAATCCGATCTTTGTACTTCGGTTACACTATCAGAAGAAAGTACACCAACAGATTGAAGTAGCTTGCCTAAGATTCGTGCCACAGTTGTCTTACCTATACACGAAATAATCAAAAGATGCAACATAATAAATCTCATTAAAAGATATGAGAGATGAAAATAACGGGACATTCGGCAAAACTACCTGTCCCGGGATTCCCGAGGAATGCCATGTGAGGTGGTTTTCTTGGTCCGAGATCAATGCCCATGGCACGACGTTTCTCATCCATGAGCATCCCCTTTGCCCATTTCTTGAGCTGGAGTTTGAGTTCATGCAATCCAACTATCTTCGATAGTTCTTGATCAAACTCTTCCATCTTTCCTTGTATTCCACTGTTATCATTCGTTGAGGACGACCCCGTTGTACTGTAGTTAGTCTGGTTGAAAAGATTTTGTTGTACGGGCGTTGATGTACTGGAGTTGGTCTGGTTTATAAGATCTCCTGTTGAGCTGTTGATTTGTTCCATGATGTGGTTAAAGTATGCTGAAGAGCCGAGGTTCGAATTTGCAGGCGATATGTAGCCTGCCGTACCGTAAATCTGCTCCATGATGTTGTTATACTGTGTTGTAGAATTGTTCGTTTGATTTCCAAGATACGACGAGTAGCCTGTTGTTCCGTTTCCATTGAGAATGTTGTTTAACTGTGCTGTGTAACTGCTAATTGGATTAACGGTGTTCTGATTTCCAAGATACGACGAGTAGCCTGTCGTACCGTTTCCAATCATAATGTTGTTTAACTGTGCTGTGTAACTGCTTATAGGATCTACAATATTATTCTGATTTCCGAGATATGGTGAGAAGCTTGTTACACCAATATTTTGATTTGGGATATTGATTTTGAGGAGTCTGATCAATTCTTCATTTTGTAGTGCTGCTGGTAGATAGTTGAAAGGAATCATGCCCTCCTGCCCCAACAATTAATTATGAAATATTAGTTTCAAAAGTACCGAATTCGAATAATAGAGAACATGGATCTTACGTCGTCTTTGGCAGAGCAGTCAGCATTGTATTCTAACAATGTTTTCACAGTCGAGTTTTCCCCTGATCGAAGTGCGTAACCGACAGCAAGATGTAGTGGAGTCATCGAGTTCTGCGAGAAATTAGAACCAAACCAAATAGTAAATGAGTAATTTGTGATATATATATATTATTTTTTGTCAAGACAAGGTAGCCTGCTGGTAAGCCCCTAGGACTATTTGGTCATGTATTCGGGACACCAAGAGGGGAATTAGGGAACCAGTATCTATCCTCCTTTTAAAAAAGAAAAAAAAATAAAGGAAAAGGTACAGTACATTTGTTGACGCTTCAACGTAGGCCCGAGATTGAAGAAGCAGCTTGAGTGCCTCGTTGCATCCATTCTTAGCTGCAACGTGCAACGGGGTTTCACCATACTGTGCATAATTTAACGGTGAACAAAATAGCCAAATATTAGATGGATCGAAATCTTGAAATTGTAGCGTGATTTGGAAGTAACATGAATATTAAACTTATGGTTTATAACTTGTACGTACAACATTCCGAGCTTCCAACTCCACCTTCCCCGGTCCTCCCCATCCAATCAAGTACGCAATTATCTCGACTCTATTGAAATTAGCAGCGCAATGTAACGGTGTATGTGACATCTGCACCCAATTGAACAACAATTATAAAAATAATAAATACATGTAGAAGATAACTTGTTATGTTATACAAACTTGTCAAACAAATGATATGCAAGAAAAAGAAAAAAACCGAGAGATAAACGCAAGATTGATCAATCAAAGATATAGTTCGGAGAAGGATGATTTGATCTTACGATGTCATCGCTTGTTTGATTAAGAAGAGAAGGATTACGGCGAAGTAAACTCTGCAAGACGACGAGATCTCCGGTCTCTGCGCATTCATGAATTGTTTTGGTGATTATGGAAGTATTTCCATCAGACAACAACTTTGATTTCTTGTCCTTAATCCTCATCTTTTTTTTTTATTTTTTATTTTTTTTTTCCGATCTAAATTTTTATCTCTGGATTTGCTACGTTGGCCTATTAATTTACTTGTCTTCTTTTCTTTTTCTGATCAGAGGTGTTATGTAAAACAAATGAAAAAGTCCACTCTGACTTCATTACAGCTAATAACACCAATATTATAGCTACCGTTGACTTCAAATTATTCTTTTGTGCAAGTTGTGTGCTTGGAAACCTTTCAGAAATTGCTCCCCTGTTGACCAATCTTTTTTTTCTATTTCTTTTCTGTTTTTTGAATTAGTCCTTCAATCCAAATTTATCATTAAACTCTTTTTCTTGAAACATTCCGAAATACCATTTTATTTTATTTTCCAGAAAATATTTTCTAATTTAACCTAATGAATAATGGTCAATTATGCAAACACCCCTCGTTACCAAGATTAAATCTTTTAAGATCCAATATTTTTTTTATTTGTGGAGTATTATTTCATATTTAATGATTCATAATTTCACAGCCATGTTCTTTTTCTTTTCCAACTTAAATGATTTTAATCAAGTGTAGGAGAGATTAGACATCAAATAATCCAAGTTGATAGGATGCAGTTCAAACATAATTAAACACAACTGATCTATCATATGTATGAAATTAATGCTACTAACAAATCAAAATAACATTTATATACTAACATTGTTTCTTAAAAGTTCTTCTATGTTTCAAGTATTCAAAAACATTCGACAATTAATATCACAAAGTCACAAACACGATAAGATATATTTACAGGAAACTAGTGCAGATGATTGACTTCGTCGGTCCTCTTGAACCAGAGCTACTCGATAAAGAAGTCGAATAACTGAACAAACTCTTGTTACTCAATAGTTTTGATAATGTTACCTGCTTTTAATTTGAAAAACTCGATTATACCAGATGGAATGAAGTGTCATGTGGAAGAGATCGTACTTCAATGGCTTCGCATGCCAAAGAAAATGTTTCTGAACTTTCCGGACATTGAGTTGCATATCGAGATACTTCTTCTCCGGTATGGAAACGAGTATGGTTTTCAAATTCGGAATGTCTTTCTCCGCAATAATCACCGAAAATGCATCCCAATTCAACACCTCGAAGAACGGCGGTACAAAATTATCGGAAATGATAACCGGCACGCACTCGTAAAAGATGGATTCGACTATTCTCGGGCTGTTGACTTCGTATCCCTTAGGGCAGATGCAGTACTTGCTATTCTTCATTTGGTGGATGTAGTTCATTTTGCTTGCGACACCTGGCGGCATTGGTCCGAGTATTTTCATGCGGGGATCTTTATCTGTCCAATGGTTGAGCAGGATTGGACGAAGATAGCCATGCATGTTTCCGGCGAAGAAGGCGAGTGTGCTTCTTTGTGAAGGCGGCTTTCCTCCGAGATCTCGAAGAGGGTTTCTTGCAGAGCGGACGTATGTTTCGGGGAGAGATACGTCCCTTCCTATTTTGAAACCCCCGGTGACATCAGCATTGCAGAGTGCTTTAATGCAATGTTCCATGTGGTGCCTCGTCTCGTATGGAGCCTGCACACATATACAGTGAATATTGAGAGAGAGAGAGAGAGAGAGAGAGAGAGAGAGAGAGAGAGAGAGAGAGAGAGAGAGAGAGAGAGAGAGAGAGAGAGAGAGAGAGAGAGAGAGAGAGAGAGAGAGAAAGGGGTAACATGAGCATTACCCAGTCATGGCAGGCGACGAGAAAATGATCTGCTCCGCCAGTTCGGTTCCAGAAACGATATTTGGATGCAATCTTTTCAGAATAATCCTTCAAATAGTGACGAAGGTTTGTTCGGTTGTGGGAATTACGCACATAGAGTGTGTATTCTAGCATCCTTGAACTGAAAGGCATATAAAAGAGATGAGCCTTTCTTGGATCTTTGACAAGAAAACGTTTATTCCCACCCTCCATAAGTTTCATAAACCATCCCTCGGATGCGTATAATCCTTTTAGTATAGGTTGATGAAAGATAGGCTTTTCACCCTCCTTGTATACGTATACCTTCAGCACCCGTTCCATTAGCTCATAACTCCTGCCAGTTAGATAAGTATAATTAAAGAAATATACAATTAAAAAAAATATATTGCATCCGATCATGGTTCGCCGGAACGGCGTCGGAACGGTCGGAACGGCCGTTCCGGAACGGGAACGGTGCCCTCCGTTCCGGAATCCGTAACCAGAACGGTAGTTGCACCGTGACTCGTCGGAACGCCGAGAAATCGGTGGGATGGGCGAGACGGAGCCACGGAACGGCCCCGACGCGGCCGGAACGGTGCCGGAACAGTGAAAAATAATTTGGAAAGAAAAAAAAAAATTTAACTAAAAAAAATAAGGAAAAAAAACATAAAAGAAAAAATAAACAAATAATATGACGGTGGTGGCCACGTTAGATACTGAAGATTCCCCTGAATCACAGATCTTTGGCCTCACTCTTCAATTATATCCTACACAATTCTAGCTCGGTGTTCTACTTGGTATTAATATTGCTTATATTTTCATAATATTCTTTGTAATATTTATTTTTTAATTTGTAATAATATTTTGCATATTATTGAATTGTAATATTGTTATTAAAAACATAATTGAAGTATATTGTATTTTTTTAACAATTTAATTAAAATGTGTCCGTTCCGGCCGTGACGCAGCCGCGACGTTGCAACGGAACTGGAACGGCAGTGTCCGCGACAATGCACTGTTCTGTTCCGGCGAACCATGCATCCGATACAACAGATGTTAGACAATTCAGAGAGACAACAACATATGACTGACAATGCAGCCTTCTGTTCGGCTATTTAAACAGGAATATGAAGGGTTATAACTAACCTTTTGAACATGGAAATATTTCGAAATAACGGAGCATATAATTCGGGATCATTGTTCAAAATCGGAGGACTTTCGATCTTTAACTTTGCAGTTAAGATTTCCTGGTCACGCTCAGAAGACCATCTTGGTCTCTACAATCAATCAAACAATTAAAAATTTGAATGTTGAATTTAATTTAAATAAAGTGTAAAGACATAACATACCATGGCACGTGAACGAGCACGATTGCGGACTAATATCCGTTCCATCTCATTTACAGGTGTCACCGTTTTAGGTGGCATATCACACCTCATCTTCTTTTTCACAGACGAACCATTGGTCGAATCCGAAAGCTTATTATTTACCATCAAAATATGGCCCTCGGCAGATGAGGTGGTGCTTACTTGAGATTCAATCAACAATGGGGATGAAGTAACGGAACCACCTTTCACGTTTTTATCCTTCATCTCACTAGTTTCAGAATCTAACACAACCCCGGGACTTTCCTTTGCAAGCTGAATAACAGAAATATTTTTCATGATATTATCACCTTGTTCCCCAATTTGTGACAGAGACTCGTGCTGTTGGCTTATCTCAATTTGCATCACGGAACCCTCTTTATCCATGTCGACATTATTCGAATTATTAACTAAGGTTTCATCCTCGACAAAATCGAAATCGTCATCATCATCCATGTCCGGATCAGGATTCATCTTTTCTTGATTGTCTGTTCCCACTGATCCCTTGTCGTCGTCATTTCCAATATCTCTCCCCACAGTGCTCGTCACTCTCCGGACCAATAGAGATTGACTGTCGAGATTTGAGGCAGCAAGTGTACCAAGATTCTCAACAATCGAAATCTTAACAGAAGAATCGTCATCCTCAGCGGTCACAACTACGCTGCTCTTGTCGTCGGGTAACAGAGACAATAGGGCATTTCCGTACGGAAGCATCAAAGACTGACAAAACAAATGAGTCAAACCAACCAAACCCACCAAGAACACCCATTTCCTTTTCTCAAACTGAACTAATTTCTTAATCTTCACACAGTAATCCATATGCACCCCTAATCTTCTATCTGCTCATACAGGAACCCTAATTAAACAAACCCCTTCCAGTTATACTTAATTCGTAAAATTTCAACATTATTTCGCACCTAAAAACGAATTAGAATTTGTCAGCAATACGAGCAGGAAAAATGATGACAATTCAGCTTTCAAAATTAAGGTTGAAAAAAAGCTAATTGAACTTCCAAAATTAAGCTCCAAACAAAAAACATACATAAATTGGAAATGGCAAGGAAATGTGGAAATTCTTACTACTTACTCAGTACAAATATTGGACAAACTGCTCCCTCTGAAGACTTGTTGTACCCAGTAAGTGTACTGTAGCTATTTTGTCGGCGCTGAAAATAATACTATATAACCTCAGCTCCTAATTTCCCACTACTGTATTTTTAATTCGGTAATGATGTAATAGCTAATTAAATTAGCATAATCAACACAAAGATGCTGACATGATTGACTGGAAGTATTAACTATTATGTAATAAAAGTGGGCATTTCATTTCACAAGAACATTAAAACTTTTTGTTTCCACCACCCAGAACTGTTACCCGAACCGTATTTTAAGGACTGGTTATGATGATCTAAATTATTGTTATTTGAAGATAAATATTAGTATCCAACCCTTATACTATAATAATTTAACAATTAATAAATTAATACCCGATAAATTAATAATCTCGATTAAATAATAAATTTTTCCAGTCCCAACTCGGAAAAACAACGTGCTAAATTTATAAGATAATACACATTCGAAAATTTTAAGAAGCCCCATATAATATATAAATTAATAATGCATAAAAATAATTCTTAAATTACATGTACAATACATATTTTATAGATCTATTAAGGCTTGATACAATATAATTTAATTCTCGCTTGTTTCTTGTTGAAGTTCACATTACCATCAATCTCATCCTTCACTTTTCTTACATGGTTGGAACTTTCGGTATATAGTTTTCGCATAACTCAACATAAATTGTTCTATGCCATTACTGCTTTAAGAGCTTCCGTTCGTAAAACGGCTTCTATAGTGCATTCAACAAATGGTACGATGAATAATATACACGTATTTTTTTTAAATAATGTGTTTATTGAAAATACTAATAAAAGTAATTTCATAAATTAATACGTTATTAATTAGGGGTAATGACAAATAGACCCATGACAAGGGCACTTAATTAAAAAAGAGACATCCAACTTTTCTGTTTTTCAAATAAATCCAGCCCATTCAAACTTATTTGCAAATATGGAAAATCCTTTTATATATACCAAAATTACCCCCAATTCATTGAAACCCAATTCAACTCCAATTTCATGATTTACACCACAATTTTGCCCAATTTCATCAATTAACCAATTTTAACCTTAATTTCAATTTTGACCCCAATTTTAACCCTAATTCTTATCAATTCCACCCATTATGCTCTAACTTCCTTAATATTACACATTGACCCCGGATTTAAACAAATATCTCACATTAACCCCCAATTTTTATTTTTTTTTTCAGATTTTTTTTTTTTTTTTCTGAAATGTTTTTTTTCCGGCCAGATTCCGGCGATGACCGCCGGAGATCGCCGGTCTCCGGCGTTGACTTTTTTTTTTTTATAATTTTGTTTTTTCTTAATTTTTTTTAATTAATATTACTGTCTTGGCTGCTAAATTACTGTCTCCGGCAGTTATTTAACTGTCGGAGACAGTAATTTAGCTGTTAATTGACTTTTTTTTTCTTCAAAAATATTTTAATTAATATTACTGTATTCGTTGCTAAATTACTGTCTCCAGCAGTTATTTAACTGTTGGAGACAGTGATTTAACTGTTAATTGACTTTTTTATTTTAAAAAAAATATATTTAATTAATATTATTGTATTCGTTTGCTAAATTACTGTCTCCATCAGTTATTTAACTGTCGGAGACAGAAATTTAACTGTTAATTGACTTTTTTTTTTATTTTTTATTTTAATTAATAGTACTGCCTTATATGCTAAATTACTGTATTCAACAGTAATTTAACTGTCTTAGACAATAATATTAATAATATTACTGTTCGGAAAAATAATATTCATAATATTACTGTCCCAAACAGTAATATTACTGTCTGAGACAGTAATTTAGTAGCTGAAACAGTAATATTAATTAAAATATTTTTTTCTTCTAAGAAAAAATAAAAAAGTCAACGCCGGAGACCGGCGGTCAACGGTGGTTGACCGACCGGAAAAAATTTCAGGAAAAAAAATAGTTTTCAAAAAAAAAACAAAAAAATCAACGCCGGAATCTGGCCAGAAAAAAAATATTTCAGAAAAAAAATTATTTTCTGAAAAAAAAAAGTTTTGGGGGTTAATGTGATATATTTGTTAAAATCCGGGGTCAATGTGTAATATTAAGGAAGTTAGAGCATAATGGGTGGAATTGATAAGAATTATATTATTGAGGGTATTTTAGACTAAAGACATGAGGATGGGCTTAATTGAGAGACTTTTTTTTTGTGGACCAAAATGCATTTAAGTCCCATGTGATGGGTTTTTTTGCCATTCGCCATATTAATTAATGTATAAATTAATAATTATTAATTTATGAATAAGTTAATATTTCACTAAATTAATGAAATTTTGATAGTCTCAACTGTATTAAATTATAGAGGTTTAATTGTACAACACATCTATCTATTTTTTTTCCTTTTTTTTTTGTGTGTGTGAAATGAAGTGCACAACATTGACACTTAATTAAAATAAGAATATTTTTTTTTTGTCTTGCAAATATTTCCTCTCATTCAAACTTATTTACTAATAAGGAAAATTGTTTCATATATACTAAAATTACCTCTAATTTCTTGAAACCCTTATTCAACCCTAATTTCCTTATTTGTCACCAATTAACCAATTGTGGCCTCAATTTTGACCTTCACCGTCAACCGGTCCCCGTTAAACGCAGGTCTCATACAATCGTGGAAGAATTTCTATCTGAAACGCCGCTTTCCTGCTCATACAATCGTGGAAGAATTTCTAAGAATTATAATTTCCATTACGATGAAAACGGTAATCTACAATCAAGGAGCGGGATTCGTGGATTTGTTTAAATTTGATGTATTGATATATATAAAAAATATATTGCTTATCTTTGATTTTCAATCATAAATATACATTACTTTTAAGAAAGGGTATAATGGTGATACTTAATTAATTTTTATTAATAAAAGCAGTTTTGAATTTATCTTTAAAATGTAAAATAAATTTAGACCCATTGTAACTGCACTTGTGTGATGGGTGGTTTTGTCAAAATTATCCTATATTTTAATCATTGCAGCAATTATTTTAATATTTCAGTGAGTGAGTAACATACATCAAATCAAATACTGCAATTTTTACTTGACCTATTTTTTTTTTTAAATTAAACCATTTTTGCATTGTTTAAGGATGGACCAAGATTGCCCGCTTGGGTATAACTCAACTGGTTCTGAAGGTGATAAGTTGGTATAAGATCCTAGGATCGAATCCTGGCAGTCCCAGTGTGGGAATTTCAACTCAAATAATGGTTGGTTCCTTGGGGAACCAGATCCGGGTCCGCTACTTAACGGGCTGTTGAGTCACCATGATTTGCATTCCTCCATCGAATATTTGTCGAACCAAGCGATGGAGGCCCTGTGAGCGAGGGATTTCGCCTTTTCGTACAGGGATGAACCAATATTTTTCAATTGGGGCTGAAAATCCTAAACAAACGGTGAACTTGAGGTTAAGGGGCAGCGCCGATGAAAAATCACTTGTAAGGATAGTCACGAAAACGAAAAAAAAAAAAAAAAGGAAAAAAGCCAATAAATCCACAAGAAAAAAAGGAACCAACAAAATC